ATGAACTTCATATATTTCATTGTATCTTATATTGATATAGTAATCAAATTTAAGTGGTTCACTTCTAGCCAGTAAAACTTGTTGTTTTATTCCGTTTTTTGGGCCCATAGGGCTCTATAATACAATCCCAAATAACATCAACAACGAGCATTGAATACATTCAGTTTGATCTACAAAATTATGCATGTTGATGTTTCAACGATAGCTAGAGGCGGATGGTGCGGTGATTTTATGGGTAAAAATGGTGTTATCATATCGAGTGTCCGTTTCTCCCTCAAAGTTTGGTTGCACGAACCTCAATCACACTTCCTTAAGTGAGGACCGTGAAAGGGTTCCCATCTTGTGAAATATAACTTTAAATTTGTTTTTGTACCCTTTACATCCTCACTGGATGTCTTTGTTTTCTAAGACTTAGAAATGAAGCTAGTCGACACCGTCCAACAAAATGATATAAAGTAAACTTATTTGCTCCGTTTACCTTTTCATCTCAAGACTTAAGGGGGAAAAGAAAGAGAGTAAAAAAGACAAGACAAACATTACCTTCAATCTCATGATAGTGGCAGAGGCCGCCATGTTTGGGTCTCTAGGCCCCCCTCAAGGCATCATGGGTAGTTTAAAGATGACTGGAAAGAAACAAAAGAACAGCCGCTGTCCACATAAGTTGCAACACTAGGGTAGAAATAACTGCAACTGAGCTCACTGACTCGTGCCGACAGAGCTGAATAACGTGCACACATGCGCTAGATTTTGCCGCGTCAACACGGATTTTGAGTCGTTCCCATGAATGATTTCCTATTCTGTTGCTTCGAGGTGTCATTTTCCTTGCCGCTTTTCTTTTACAGAATAACCTCCAAAAACCTGGTGCACCCCCTGAAAAGTTTCAAAAATTAATTTTCTCTTTAAAACCTCTGGAAATAGGGAAGTGCCTTCGCTGAAAACAGAGTTCCTCGGTTTTAAAAGTCAGCCCTGACTATTTTCCGCTAATTTCGCTAAATTTTAGACCTAGGACACTTGAGCCCGCGTTGTTGACGGCAACCCGCTGACGTAGCATTTCATTAATCAGCTTTGTGACTCGTGCCAGCAGAGAGGCATTCTGTCTGCGC